GTGACGAAGGCATTGTTAATCTGTTGCTGGTTGATAAAGGAGCTGATATTGAGGCAAAAGATTATGAGCGTATGACACCGCTATTATGGGCGGCTCATAATAGTGACGAAGGCATTGTTAATCTGTTGCTCGAGAAAATGGCTGATACTGAAGCAAAGGACAATAAGGGCATGACGCCGCTATTATGGGCGGCTCATAATAGTGACGAAGGCATTGTCAAGTTGCTAGTTGATAAAGGAGCTGATATTGATGCAAAAGATGATGAGTGTATGACGCCGCTATTATGGGCGGCTCGGGAAGGTCAAGAAGGTATTGTTAATCTGCTGCGTGTGAAAGAAAAAAAATCACTATAGAAAATACATGTATACATGACCTATAATTCCAGATCGAGGTCTCCAGACATATGCAATAGACATTTTGAGTATAAACTCACTATAACAGATATTGGACTAGTCGGAGATGGAACTCCCTAATAGACTCAAAGAAGGGAAGGACTGATGCAGTGCCTCTCCAGGTGAGAGACGACTGGTGAGATAATGTAAGATTGAACATGAATGGGCTTTGCAGGGGTAATAGAAAGACAGTGGAACGAATTCAATAACGACATGCAATTCACATGTTTGAACACTCTTCAAGATTTCCCTAGTAGATAAAACATTCCTCCAAGATGTCAAAAAATGACGCGCCTTACAATAGGCCAAAACTGAGCAGGGTTGAGCGACGCAGAAGATGAATCTCTGCTACTCAACAATCAGATCGATTTTTGTTTCAATTAAGAAGTAATAGTAATAACAGTAATGGAAGGAGTAAAAGTAGTAGAAGTAGTAGAAGTAATAGAAGCAGAAGTAAATGTACATCAGAATACCTAATACATGTAATTGTATTTACGACTTTAGCTACAGCTAGAGTACTGGAGAATAAAACTGGGTTGTTGAATGGCAATTCCCTAATATTAAGCTTTCACAGGCTTAGGAATAGTGTTTCGGTCCATGCAGCCACATATGCACATACTATGAATAGAGGACTATGAGTAATTTAATACTGCTAGCTAAATCAAAAAGCTATATTCTTCCTGGCTAAGATAAGTGATAGAAGTGATAGCAGTGATAGTAGCAGCAGCAGCAGTATAAGCCCCTTTAATTAAGTAGGATAAATATGATAAAAGCCACAGTTGTTAGTATCAGTACAGGTATGCTCGTCCACACTTATAGCATGGAAGCAAAAGCCTCGTCCCACACTCACAAAGCCCTGATTGCAATGGCTTCTATCTATGAGGACACTTACTGCCTACAGCAGCCCCAAAGCCGTATGCTAGTAATTTCAAAGCATTGATTAATTAGATTGTTAGCTACTAATCTCCCGGTATTATGTTTTGGTCCATCATGGTAGGCGGGTGGCCTGTGGTGTGCGCCGAAAGCCAAGATATTTCTCAAAGGTCGAAATTGACTGAAAAAAAGTCTGGTGCAATGTGCACACAGATCGATCTAGTCCAGTTCCAGTACCTCGACATTGTCATTGACAAATTGCCTGATCTGCTGCGGCCAGAAGGTTGGATAGCGGCCTTTGCCCTTGAGCACCACCATTTCCAGCCTTTCCAGCTGCGTGCCACAATCAGCGAGCAAGGTTTCTATCCACTGTGATTTTGCAAAGAGTTCCGGATCTGCTTCATCTTCGTCGTCCTGGGAACTGGGATCCGCGCTCGAGATGATTATATTGGGCCCGATTGCTCTGCTGGAGGCCTCGTTGAATGAGGAGCAGTCAACGTACAAAATCTTGAGCTCTCTCGTCCGCAACAGGGCCTTCTTGGTGAACTCTGCGCCTCGAAGGTTGAACCGGTCCTCGTCACGCAGTTGGAGGCGGATCTTCTGGACGCAGGCCCAGTCAAGACGGCCTTTGACTGCGAGCTGGAGCCGGAAATTCCAAGGCGAGTAGAAGGTCATGGCCACCTCCCGCAGCCGCCTCACACTGCGCATTTCCGAAAGTATCTTCTGGCAGGTAGCTTCAAGAGGCATGTCATCGCTATCGCCTTCGTAAGGCTGGTCCTCGTTGAGAAACAAGTCTTCGGGCTGGTTCGTCGACACGCCGTCTGCGATGGCATCGACAGCCAAGTACTGCTGGTAGACAAGGTCACGCATCTCCCTGGGGAGGCGAGTAAAGAAGAGAGAGGCGCCTTGGTCTAGGCATTCGGACTGGAATTTCGGCTGTGTTGACAACATGGCCAGGGTCGGGTATATCGAGTTGGAGATGATGCAAGCAGTGAGGCCAGCAGCATGATGGTTGTGTTTCGCTGAGGAGGAGGGGCAGTCTTACACGAGTCCCTGATTACTGCATGCATGAACGTAGTTGCTCCACGACCCACCAGCGAGCGGGTGCCTGGCCCCTCACCGCATAAACTCCGAGCCTCATCCTAGGTACATCTACAGGGGTGTGCCTACACAGGTATGTACCTTGGAGACAGATGGCGACGTAGAGAAGAATCATTCTTGGATTAAATCAACCTACCGTGGCAATTGTACCTGTACCAAGAGTTTCTCAACTACTAGCCACGCCGGGGCTCATCCCGGTTAGCTTCACCTTCAGAACTCGCCAACAGCTCCTCAAGACGGGCCCCAGCACAGAGCCCAGAATCCACATCGACTTCATCAATCAATCCAACTGGACTTCTCCGTCTTGCATCATGAAGATTTACTTACATCTCACAACTATATCTAACATATAGGCGTTGCCATGTATCAAGTAGGCACTCGCACTTGATATTGAGTGTCAATAACCTGCCTGCAGGCTATGAGGCCAGTCGTCTTATACACCAGATAGCGAGTGCATAAACTTACTTCTAGAGGCACAGGCAGCATGTATCACTAAATTTTCCGGGTATTTTCTTGTTTTTTGCAACCTACCAATGTTTTTTTACGTGCATTACGTTTGAGTAAAACTCTACGAGCGTGGGACGAAGCTTTTGCTTCAACGCCATCAGTGTGGATGAGCATACGTGTACTGACACTAAGAACTGTACCTAGCTTTATTATATTCGTCATACTTAATTAAAAAGGCCTCTACTCCTGCTTCTACTACTATCACTTCCATCCCTATCATCACCACTGCTTCGCCCGCTGCGAGTCTCAATCCCACGATCAAGCTCAAACAGTCCAACAAAGTGGTATATATCCAATCAGATCATTCGACATGACAACAACGCAGCATCCTCCCGCTCCTCCGAGCCTCGAAGAGCGCAGGCTCTACTATTTCAATATTTTTCCTGCTTGCCCCCGGCTCGTTGCGCGCTCTAGCACATTTGTCTGGGAGCATCCCAGGAAGCCTGGCTCCGTCATGTATCTGACACGTTTGCGGTTTGATAGAAGAGACTCACCATTTTTTCGACTATGGGAAAATTGGAAATCTGGCCTTATCATCCAGCTCATGAGGATTGCCGAAAGGGTAAATTATACCTTTATGGAGACGGCTCGTGTTGAGATAAATGGTGAATCCCACGATACGCTCATGATCGGCGTCGAGCCAGATTCACTGTCATGGGAACGCGGATATGCTCTCGCACTGCGATGCAAAGCAGTCTTGGAAGAACGTGGTATCCACAACGTGCATTGCGAGATACGGGAGGCCAGGGGTTTCTGGTGGTAATTATTGGTCAAATCGCCCAGTAGTAGACTCCAGTTCCTCGGATAGTGAGCCGATCGATTTCAACTATCCTTGATGCCAATCACACACTCTGGCAAATGATGAAGAACGCATTTACAAAGAACCATGTGCCACATCGGCTAGTTGACTACTACTAGGTAATCTTGAGCGGCATACCTCGAGGAGGGTAAATTTAGTTTATGTAGTTTATGTAAATGAAAATATGTGCAGATTTGTTCCTATGATATACATGGTATATACATGGTATATACACGATGATACGGCTATTCAACCTTTCGCGCCCCTTTTTAGTATTTATTTTTATACTTTTAATAGTCTCTACTTCCTCTACTTCCTCTACTTCTTTTTTTTTTAGTTTGGTTTGGTTTGGTTTGGTCTTTTACTTAAAGAAAAGTGTCTAGATCGAGTCTTTGTTGAGTGTAATACCAATCTCCATTAGAACCAAGAATTACCGTATTCGGCACCTTACCTCATCATTTTCTCTTCTTTCTCTTCTATCTATAGGTGATTTTATGCATCTTTAATGTGTAAAATCCATTTTTATGAAAGTCTAACTAGCGCAATATTAGTTAGAGCACTTATTCATGTAAGACATACATTAGTCGGCTCCATATAGCTTGTTTACATCATAGAAACGAATAAATATCCTACATAACTACTGTTCTTGAGGCATGTATTTCTTTTCTTTTATAATCTAACACAATAATGATGAATATCTTCTTTATCGTATTGCCTCTCCATCTCCACAACAAAAATGAAGGAAAACCAGCATCTAGTCCATCATGATGCCACCACCAAAACCCGCCATGGCCAACCATCTACATCACCTACAAGTATTGTCTTCAATGCTCAACCCTTTGGCGGCGGGCCAGGTGCCACTCTCACAGCCGTCATGCCATATTTACGAAGCCGACTCAAGTCCCTCGGCCCCATAGCTCTGCATTATGTTGGATCAAGTCTTACAATGGACTTCCAGAAACTCACAGAGACCAAGTGGGATGGAATACATAATGTTGACCTATACACAAATCCGGAGATTGGAAAAAGAAAGCTCGTTTCTCTCTTGCAACACTTGAAGCCACAGCTCGTTGTGACAGCAATGGATGAACTTGTTGCTGCTGCGGCTCAGGCGGCTGGAATTCCTGTAGTCATCATCGACCTGCTGCTATGGTTCTGGCCTAGTATTTCTCCCAATTGGCGACAAGCCGAGCTGGTGATTGCTGCAGAATTCTATGGTGTTCAGGAGCGTATAATCAGCGAGAATTTGAACAACGTTGCAACTGTCCCACCACTTGGACCACCGGCGAGAACTACTCAAGATCCCTCTGCGGATGTTCTTCTCAACTTTGGAGGCATGATCAACCCTCTTATGCCAAAACAAGAGTACATCGCCTACTCACATCTTATATACAGTGCTGCTCGGCGCGCTATTGAACTGCGCAACGCCGCGCTCCCAGAGTCTCAACATGCCAAGTTGATAGTGTTGGTAGCCAGCTTTGACGTGGCGCAAGGCATCGACCCCAAAGATCCAGAAGCAGCTCGCATGGTCTTACCAGACGAGGCTCTCAAGCTTATGGCCTCATCAGAATTGACATTCTGCACCGCAGGACTCGGCAATCTGTATGCAGCCGGGGCTGTTGCCAATGCGGTTCTGCTGCTGCCACCTTTACACGAAGGCCACGCTATACAGACACACCTGATTCAGAAAGCCGGAGTTCCTGTGGACGCCATAGAGTGGCATGAACTAACAGGCCGAGCGCCTATCGACTACTACCGCGACTCGCTGCAAGTCATGGACAATGTCAGCAAAGCGCAGAGCGAAGTTATCGACAGTCCTCAAGCACAGACGGCCTTGGTTGGTCGGATGCTGGCGGCCATGTTGCGTTCAGCTTCAGCAGGGGTTTCGGCTGAGGACCCGCCTCTGCGGACGCTCATCAAGGAGTTTGGACAGGATAACGGCGATGCCATGGCTGTTCAGATTATGGACGTGTTGGAAAAAGTACGATGAATCGAGGTGGGAATAGAAACCACTTTGTTTAATTTTTAATGAGCCATGATTTGGTGCAGCGAACAGCGAATTTAATTATTCTTCAGTAATGATTTGCAAACTCGTCTACAGAAAAAGAATTCCGTCTCAAAGGGTCAGCAACAACACCCAGTATAATTCTGTTTACAAGCATTCAGCGTACAGCACAAGGGGCAGCAGCAATCTGCACATACTTGAACTCGCAATTGTGCCACTACAAGTCTACACGTAACCAAAATCACCAGGTAAGACATCATGATGTAATATCGGCAATCACTCACTCGCAACACTTCCAGAACGCACATCCATAATCCCAGCCATCCGTCATTAACTCCGCCGCCCCCCTTAAACTCAGCGCAGCACTAAGTCAAGCTTGCATTTCAGCCGCACTCAACTCGGCTAGGCATTCATCTTTACCCCTTGAAGGCACTCCACTCTGTAAGCCAGCTGAGCGCTTCTAGATCTCGATACTGGCGGGCGTATCCGTCTCTTCCCAGGCAGCCTTGTTGCTAGACTCTGCCACACAGAAGGGGAGTTGCCAAATTAGTGATCACAATTGAGGTTGCAGCTTATTCTACGGGGAGCTCCATAGCAGTGCATAATTCAAGAATACCACATGCAGCTTGGCTCTAGTAACGATCATTGGGTCGTTGGCGTTGTTCAACCTATCCATCCCAATGCTACATGACCAGGCTCAAGCACCCTAACGAAAACAAGGATTCAAATAGTAAAAGAACAAGTTGAACATACTACAAAGCAATAGAGAAAATTGTACAGAGCAACTTAGGTGAGTCATCAGTAAACAGAAAGCTACAGCGTCTATCTCACGTCATCAACACTCATATGTATGATAAAAGCCAAAAGACTTGCCATTCTGCTACTAGCTCTCCTTTCCATAATTCTTACATATAAAGACAAAATGCATCTAGCTAGGGCAATAAATCCCTTATTTTTTACATTACAACAGTAAACCACATTCAGTCTTGAAACTTCATTGTTCTTGTATTATTTTAGCCCCTTCTCTCCCAGAAATGCAAACGCCAGCCAAATCTGCGTCACCCACCACCCATCCATAAAAAAATAATGTTCATTCGCCATGCCTGACGCACACACACAGCCCCAGGGTATTAAATTGCGCTCGGTTGCTAAAAGCGGGCTCCCCCAAATTACATGATTAGGCAAAGTTGTCCGATCGGTCGACCCAGATATCTTCCAACTCTGCAAAGCTGTGGAAGTGCACTGGTCGGTGGTGGTCACTATAGAAGGGCAGCGGCGTATCCAGCTTGACGTGAACAGACTTCTTTTCCATTCCTGCAAAAGCGCTGCCCATGAAGCTATAGTTCCACTTGCCATCATCTGGAACAAGGAAGAAACCTCTGAACCTGGGACTCAACAGAAGCTTTCGCTTCTCTCCCATGGTTGTAGTGAAGCCCTGAGGTTGGTCGCTCTGCGTGTCCTTGTTTTCGGCTCCCCATTTGTAACCCTGAGGGGTCAAGCCCCAAGCAGACAAAGAAACACTGCCGGGAGTGAACGAAACAGACACTGTAACTGTATTCGTCTTGTCCCACTCCTCGTGTGTATCCAGCAGCTTGGCGTGCTCAGTCACATCTGCCGCGGACATGTATGGAAGTTCGCTGCCCGATAGCGTGTGGATGACACCCAGTGGTTCCATACCGTCCAGGAACTCACTCTGGGGTAGCTTCTGTGGAAGCTGCACGCTGCGAAGACCGCCAATCTGGGGAATCATAACAATACATTTGATCTCCTTAACTTGGTCGTTGTCAGGGGCCGAGGCGCCATAGAGGTAGCCAGCCACCTGGACTCGTAGATCCGCAATCGTGATGAACTTCTTCAAGATGTTGTTAGGCATAACATACGTAACATCATCCAGATCGGTATCCGCTGATGACACATAGATGTTCTTGGCTCTTGTCCGCAAGTTCGAAGTCGCAATAGCTCTGGTTCGCCACTCGGTCTTGGAAGCAAATGTTTGCTGTTCAAACTGAGATGTCGTAGTAACAATAATCTCCTCGCCATGAACGTTTTGGGTCTTGGTCGTGACAGCCGTCAACTGCTTCTGCTCTTCTTGCTGCTTCTCGATCTCGGCAGCTTGCTGTCTCTGCATTGATGGTGCAGAAATCTCCATACCAAGAATAATATCACGAACTTCAGTACTTGTCAAACTAGACACATTGACGTTGTTCTTCTTGCCATAATCGTTCAAAATAAGATCTCGCAGTTGAGTTTCAACCTTGATCCATTCTTCATCATTCAGTGAAGGCCAGATATGATGGTCGAGAGTGATGACAGTCTTGTCAGGCCGTAGGATGAGCTTCGTCTTGTCAGGATTGACGTGAAGAGCACGCAGAATGAGAATTAGACGAGAGAACGCTGTGTATGAGGAAATGCTCTTCAGCCACTCGTCATACAGGTTAAACAGTACCATCTGGGGCTCCGTCGCTCGCAAAATCATATCTCCCAGCTTCTCAACCTTCATAGCCGCCTGGAAAGGAAGCTGTAGTTCGGAAGCACGAATAGAAATGTTGGGGAAGTCAACCAATTGGACTTCGAGAGGATCCAGTAGACCCTTTCGGGTGACAATCAGCTGCTTGGGCTGTTCTTCAACAGGGAGCGATCGAATCAATGCCGCCACTTCTTCTGCCGTCTTCCACTTGGCAAGCTGTCCAAGACGCTTCTGACCTGCCCAAACACTGGTGTGGATGATCTTCAAGAACAACTGGCCAGTTCGCGGGTTGAAGATGAAGATGGCGCCGTTGATGGGCTTGGTGGTCAAGTTTCCTTCAAACGTCTTGTGGATAGTCACACGGTACACGTTGGTGTCGTCGATGAAGAGCTGAGTCTGGTTGCTGAAGAGCTCCGAGTAATTCTGCGAGTTCAAGAATTCTTGGTTGCTCTCAGAAGCATACAGCTGCAGACCCTTACGGATACGCTCTCGGAGGACGTACAAGGCAGGGTTGGCTTTCATGATCTTGGCCATTGCTTGCTGAATGAGTACCTTCAGGCCAGGGAAATACATTCCGTAGGCCGAGTACAAGTTGTAGGCTAGATCAATACCAATCATGATACCTGTAGCAGAGGGGTAAATGCTAGAGCTATCGGTTGTGTAGTCGAGATACTTGGCACGTGTATATCGCTCAATGTCGTGAGAGTCGTAGTCGCCATATCGCAATTGTACGTCAACCCAGAATTTGTTGGTCGATGTAGGCTCAATGACGTCCTTGGTATCATACAACAGTGACGGACGAGTGACATTCCACTTGTGGCTGGCAAAGAGGAGAATGTCGGCACAAGAGCTGTTCATCTTGTAAGATTTACGAGGGTGAATAGTCTCCTTTTGAACAGTCTCAATGCCGAGAGATTCCAATTCTTGATCAATTACTTGACAAAGATCCATTACCACTGACTCGTGAATCTTCTGCCACAAGTGAGCACGGAAGATCTGGATGAGGGAGATCTTCAGCGTGGGAATCTTTCCGTGCAAGAAGATACCAGTAAGATCAAGCTGGACCTGGAAACCAACATAGACGTTGGCTCTGTTGATGGTTGGAGACCACCAAAGGGTGAAACGACGGTTAGGAATCTGGTTCAGACCGGATCGCTGGGCGTTGGTGAGCTTCTTGAACTTCATGGATTCTTCGAAACCAGAAGCCTTCTCCCAGAAGAGGCCTTCCCAAGATGGGAAACCGGTGGCCTTGAAGAGAGTGTGCTCAAGGATGGTCTCAACACCACCCAGTGCTTGGATGACATCAGTTCGGTAAGCATTCAAGTTCCACAGCTTGCCGTCATGTCGCTGGCTCGTCCACCAGAACGGGTTACTCTTCATAAGTTGGTAAATCTTGAACTCGGAGCGAGCGCGGAAACCCTTGTCGAAGCTAAGCGTGCTTCGGTCCTTTTGGAACAGAGTGTTGATTCTTGGCAAACCACGATCCCAGCTATCCTCCAAATCTTCCAAAGTAAGACGTCGGTTCTGCTGGTTGGCTTCCAATCGCTTCTGGGAATATTCAGTCCAGACACGTTGTGAATCAATAAATTCTGCCTCCCAAGGGATAATGTATCGGAAAATGTTGGGGATTAATGTCTCCTCATCATGCGTCATACCAGCTCTGTAGTGGGTGACTCCAGTGTCGGTCTGCTTAGACCAACGCTTGTCACTAGCTGGGATAAGAATGTGAGAGCCAGAAATCATTCCCAATCCACCAAGCTCCTTTGGAGTATAGAAAACGGCAGGGGGGAAACGCGAAGGCATCTTGGAGTTCAGTCCAATCTTGACTCGCGTCTGAATCTTGGTCTCGCATTTGACGATGGTATCCAAGAGCTCAATAGTAGAGACCGCGGCCTCACGATAGTACGTGAATAGAGCAATCAGAGCAGTGTTCCACTTGTTAGCAATCTTAGTAAAGGTTGTCGAACCAGATGACATGAGAATTTGTCGGATACGGTTGTTGAACTTTTGAATATCTTCTTCGGTGACTTGCAAGAATGCGTGTGCCGTTCTCTCCTTGGTCGTATTATCAACGAGAGACCAAACACTGTCTTTGACAGGGAATTCTTCATTCTGGTTTCTAATCTTGGGTAGAATACGGACTTCAAATCCGCACATTGAGAAGAGCAAGTTGGGGTTATCACGGCTGTAAACACTGACAAAGCTGTCATCCCAATCAATCGTGGTAACAGATCGTGGCAATCGGTTCTTGAAGTCCCAGAAGACAGCTCGTCCAAGGTTGACGTCGTGTCGCATCAAGCGCATACGAGAATCTCGTGGCCAGCACTTCTTGCTCTTATAACCGATGACATTCTCAAAGTTGGGATCCGGTTGCTCAGTAAGGAATCGCTGGATGAGATCTCGTGATTCCTCCGCTGTAAATCGAAGGAAGATCCAGATCTTATCGATATATCGGCTGTATAGTCGGATCGGGTGTCTGCTTTCCGTTTCCCGATCGCGGAACTGCAAGAAATCGTTGGGGCTTTGCGG